GTGAATGAGAAAACAGTGAAATACATGGCAAGATCATGCTCACCAATTCAGCCGACAATTCCTTTTTTATAAAAAAAAAGGAAATCAAAGGACTGCAAAGATGAGGAGAGTGGCTATATGGAAATACTCTCCCACATATCTGTCTTATATATCAAGGGTAGGATTCTTAATATAGCAATGGGTAGATTTGCAGGCAGGATAAATAACCAAGATGTAGGTTCAATGGAATTATTTGTTATTAATCTATTTTTTGTAAATAAGCTATTTTGTGTTTCATTTCTATTTTCCAAGTGCACAAACATTTCGTAACTTTATTCATTATTCATATTACTCGTCTTGCAATTTTAAAGCTGAAGTAAGCTGCTTTCTGCGAATGACACTTTTTCAATGTTCTTAGACATTAGTTTATTTTAAAATTAATGAAAATTTACAAATTTCAAAATATTTTTAGGATTATTCCATACCTGGAAGCTGGCCTAGAATACATTTTAACATTTGACATTTTATTTCACAATTGTTCAAATTGGTTCACTAGCTTTACTGAGAAGTATGTTTCATATGAGCTCAGTAAATTAATGTTAAACTTTTACTTCAATATACTTTGTAGTTCTGACTAGAAAAAATAAGGTAAAATAATGTATGCTTCATTCAATTGCAATTCATAATGGAATTTCATAAGAGGAAAACAAGGCAGGTCCTTTGGTATATGAAAAATGGAAGATCAATATTAATGAATATTAAAATACAACTTATATATAAATACATATACATGGAGATACTGAAAATCTAATATGAATATGGTAGTTGTGACAGAAATGCAAACACTACAAACGAGGAAAAAGTAAAGATAAACTGAAAATGCAGATAGGCTTGCATACATAAGCCCAGGATAACTGATCTAACATAAATTGCTGTGCCATAAACTTTGTAATTGCCATACTGTGTTTAAAACAATCATATGACAGATACTGGTCCTTATTAGCACTCTGACACAGGGTGATGCCCTCTATTTGTCTGTCCATGGACACAGGCAACAGAAAGAGGTTAGGGTTGAGCAGTATCTCCTCAGAACCTGTGGACATGCCTTGTCTTCAGAGTGGAAAACAAGACACTTGAACTGTTGTGTCTCTTAACACTACACATTATACAGTAATGCGCATTACAGACAATCTTTACACAGGAAACTGAGCACAGTATGAACAGAGCCCTTCTCCACCAGAAAATGTTTATTACACCTGGAAACTTGGCTTATATATTTTTTTATAGTATTTCTCAGTCTCCCATCAACAGACAAGTAATGGAAATATGGAACCCTCACCTACTGCTCTTCTGTTTTCAGAAGTAAAATCTCAGCCTTTCATCCTCTGACACAATTGACTTGAGCCTCATCAGATGGGATCAAAAGAAAACATATGACTGACCCACATAAGAAGAAAAGAAGAATAATACAAAAAAAGTCATCATTTTATTTTTATCCATTTTTTAAACAAATTGACCAAGGACAATCAGAATAGTAATTATCAGGGAACACTGAATGGCAGAACTATAATTGCAATCAAAATTGCAGTGTATTGGATACTCTATTAGCTTCAACAGTCATGAATTCATAGAAAACAAGTGTCAAAAATATCTACCTGTGTATTAGACCTAATTGTTTGCAGAAAAAGACTGCATTTTGTCTTCAATAGTTTTGTTTCATTTTATTTTCTTCCAGAGAAGATACCAGAGAAAGAGGCTGTCCACTGCTTCATAAATTATTCTCTCAAGGGACTGAAACCATTTTGAAGAATTTTAAGAAAACACAAACAATTCCTTCTCACTTTCCTTCAAATTAGTCCAACTGTAAACCTGAATAAACTAAAAGAACTTTCCTGAAGAAAGAAGCAGCTCAAAACTAAGGACTTTATCTTTCTACTATGCAGCTCCTCATTCTTGAAAGTAGAAATACAAGAAAAAAGAAAAAATACAACTTCATTCCCAAAACGCAGATAGGAGGAAAAGGTTTGCTTGACAGTCTTTAGACTAGTTTGGTAGCTAATATTTCTTTCTAGAGATGCACAGTGTCGAGACAAGCCTCCCCTAGACCGCCAAGGACAGACACTGTGCCTCAGCACCCAAGCTGGAAATGGAGCCTGCCAGGGTAAAGGAAGACTGTGCAATGCAGGAGGGCTCTGCAGTCAATCCAAATTCCAAACTATGAGAAATAAGCCCATCTGTAACACAGACTACTGCCAACTCCTTCCACAGAACAGTTATGTGGAAAATACCACACTGAGATAATTGTTTGTTATTTCTATGTCTTTACACTGAGAATTCATCCAGTTACTTTGGTGATAAAAGCCTTTACAAGCAAATGTGAAGTCAATGTCGCCTGTGATCTCTGACAGATCTACCATGATAAAGAAAATTCCCTGAATACCCAGAGTTGAAAGAAAGTCACTCCTTCGTTGAATTCAGATACTATAACAAGAAGAGTTTCGCATTAGCAAAATAGCTGCTCCTTTCAAGGATCAGAGAGTTTTTTGTTCTGGACTATAAACAACAGCTTAAATTAAAAGTGAGTTGATAAAAGCATCTATTTAACAATTAGTGAGTTAAATAAAGTAACAAAGCAGCATCATAACAACAAAATTAAATTATTAGAGTTGTCCAGTTTTGTCAAGAATTTGAAGCTTTAATTTCATTTAGTGCATTTCTAATGGTTCTAACATAGGACACCAGCTTTTTGGTACAATGATGAGAAGGTCATCAGGAAAATAACAGATATACAGAATACTTCTGCAGCCTACTAATGGAGTAATACTCTGCTGCAGTTAATATATAATCATACTGCAGGACAGCCAAAAGGCCTCAGTTAGGTTCTGAGCCCCATTGTGCTAGGCACTGTGAAAACACAAAAGGGAACAAAGTCCAAGCCCCAAAGGGCTTGTAGTGTAAAAAGATTAGTGATACAGTGAAGAGAAAGGCAGTCCGATGCTTTCAGAATAGACTGACTTTTAATATCTATATCCATGTGTCATTCTTTCAAGCTGCCAATAGAGAAGAATAATCCTGACCTGCTTTCTCAAATCTACCCTACCATGAATATTATTTCCAATGTTAATCAAAGTCTGGCTAAGGTTTTCCTTTTATTTATTTATTTATTTTTTAAATTTATTAATGATTTCAAAACAGTTATATTTCTCTGGCTTTTACAAACAAGCATATAGTTAGAAAAAAAGAAATTAAATTAAATGAAGCCCAAAATAGAACTACCAGGGAGAATGGAAAACACAGCGAGAATTTAGTTATTTGAATTCCTGCCCTTCTCAATTGTTGGACATATTTTCACATAGACACAGATAATGTCCTCTAATTCCACTTCAGGAGTCTATTCCTGTCAGTTAAACATTATCTAAAAGTCCCTATGGAGGTGTTCATTTAAAGCTGATGCTGGCACAGTTTTTAGCGCTTTTCTAGCCATCTGGTCACATACTGAATTGTCAGCTATTTTCTCTAAACCTGAGAGGAAGCCTGAAAGAGTAAACAAAAACATCAACAAAAAGCAATCTCAGGGTCTAAAGTAACCACAACAATCAAGGCTAAATTGCAATTTCGTCTGACTCACAAATTTCAGACAAAAGAAACTAAAGAGAAAAAAACCTCCCAAAACTCAAAAGGTTGCAACCCGAAGCTATTTTGACACCCCCCACCCCGAGTCCACCTGCCCAGCTGCAAACACATCCAAGCATTCATATTGCCCCCTCTCCCCCTAACCCGTTCTCTATTAAGAAAATACAGAGATCCATTTCTTTACATTTAAAACTTAGAAACCAGGGGCTGGCATTCAAAACTATTTTGCATGCCACTCAATAAAACCTTTTAACATCAATTTTTAAATGAGGATGCTTCAGTCCTACGCTTTCTCTGCATACTGACTTAAACAACAGAATGTGGAAGCTGACTGCCTCATTTAAGCACCCATTATGAGAAAACTTGCTACAATTTCTATACAAATAGACAAGAGTCCCACTACATTAAAATGAAACCAAATCATATTAGCAAACCTCTTTTTTCCTCATGGTCTTCTCTCTTCTCTGAGCAACGTTGTTCCATCTTACACACACACTTAGATGTGCCATGAGTGCTTCGTTTAAAGTGCATAAAAGCTATTCACAGCTCTCCTAAGAATGAAACAGTTTTAAAATTTTCTGATCCATGTTCCTGCCACAAACATTCACCGGCAGTATGATAGCTCCAAGAGCAGACATCTGATTCTTGACATTTAAAGATACAATACTGGTGAAAATAGTGACGCTGTATTAACTGCAAACAGCTTGTGAGGGAGTAGGTGATGTACTCCTAAAATGTATAATCAGAACAAGTAATAATTTCAACCTTTTGATTTTTTATTTTTGACTCAAAGCCATGAGAAAGAGGAATAGCCAGACAAACAAATCTGGACACGTTACAATAACTGTTTTATGAGAATTTATATTCTATGGCAAAAAGGAAAGTAGGTTGTTTTCCTGATGGAGAAAGTATTAAGGTACATCAAAATTTCTCAAAAGGGTCTCAAAAGCTTTCAGAATGAAATAAGCAGTAAATGAAGGCAAATCTTGAAATTACAGAAATCAAAGAATTTGTATCCTAGTTACATTCAGTTAATTGACATTGTAATGCTAAGCACAAGCACTACAACATCAAATTTCCTATACCCCTACTGTGACTGCCTTATAAAGTCAAAAGGTACGCAGAAAGGTCTTATTTTTCCCACAGGAAAAAATTATAAGCCTGTTCCAACATGAACTGTTTCTTTGAAATAGTGAATGCTTGGGGGGAAAAAAAAGAAAAAAAGGAAAGAAGAAGCAGGTTTATTTTTAATTTCAGCAGCTTTACCCCTTGTCTGATGATCAGTGACCTCTTGGGAAAGCTGAAATATCAGAGTAAACCCCCATCCCCCACAAACACCTTAGACAAGGCAGAGCACACTTAACAGTAATCAGTTCTCCACACTGTACCTGGAGGTACTGACATGACCGTTCCTGTTGACACGTCTCTGCTTTCACCACTGTCTGGTCCATGTTAACTGATGCTTTCTGGTAAACTTCACGGGCTCTGCTCACTGTTAATGTAGAGGACCAAGAGCTTTTCTTCATTAACTGGGAGTCCAAATTCACAGGCAGGTTTGCACAGGTAGAGCATTTGACATCATTATTGCTTCTGGATGACTTCACAGTATGTTCGCTAATAGTGTTATAGGCTTCCATAAAGTATTGGGAAGAAGAACGATCAGGGCATCTTCCCATGGTCATGACCCCACTGGGACCATGATAAATACAAACATCATTGTCCAAGTTGTCATCTGAACTCCACCATCCTGATGCATTGGATCTGGGCTTACCTTCTGATCTCCTTTCTTTACTCTTGCTGCGCTTCCCATACCTCATCGTCTGCGACTCCTCTGGACTTGCTTTGCTCCCATTGACACTCCCCTTGGATGGTCCCTCCAGTGAATGTGACTTAGTAAAGAGCTTTTGGACAGAATGAACCAGATGCCTGATCCTCCCTGGGCTGTCACTGCGGTGCTCCATGGCAGTCCGCTTGTACTGCAGAGTGTGGTAGCCATCCCGATTCAGAGGCAGCTGCCGCTCAAACTGGTCCAAAAGGTTGGCAGGAATGCGGTTTGTCTTGTTGGCAGTTCCATGGGGAACCAGAGCACACTCATCCTTGAGTTCATGGTGGGAACTATAATGCCTCCGGGGAAACGTGCTGCTGGCAATCTGATCATTGTAGGGCACCATGCACTCTGCCTGAAAAGAGTTCCTTTGAGTGTAGTAAGGGTGATCTGCAGGATGGGGGTCCACCGGATTTAACAAATATGGCTTCCTGTCTGGGTGGTGTGGCAGACTGTCACACGGAGGGTCACAGGCAACCCCATGATGATGACTACGGCTGCTAGATAATCCCTTCATCGCTGATGAAAAGCAAGTCCCAAAGTCATCTAATATGTATGGCTATGCAACAGGCAGATCTCAGAGAAAGGCCTAAAAAAATGAAATACAACAGAAGCCATAAGATATTCGAGATAAGAGGAAAATCAGCATGTGCATGTTTAGCATTGTTTCTTACTGTACTTATAATTGTAATAATCATCCTCTGACTATTTTTATCCCTTAATATTTGCCATGTCCATCATAGTGATAGGGGATACCTAAGCAATACACAGGAAAAATATTTTTTTCACCAGCTGGAAAACATGCAAGAAAATTTTCTGATACGAAATTCACTATCGTTCATGAATTCACAACGAGGTAAGTATCACCACCTATACTATAAAACTTCAGTCCTGAAAACATTCATGGGCGGGGACCTCCCAGGAAGCCTTAACTGCTCATCTGCATGTTTTCAGAACCAAATAAATGCATTAAAAAAGATCATGCCCCTAACGGATCACTTCCTGGGTTACTCTGGACCAAATACTAAGTGTGGTTCAGTTAAGGTAAAACTGTTCCTTGTCTTAAATCCACATCTGTTCATGATAAAAGTGCAATTTACTTGATCTCCATGTTGTCTGCCTAGACCCCAAGCATCTCAAGACTCTATGAAAACATTATTTCTGTAAGCTTTTCTCAAATTAAGAATAAAATAATAATACATGGCACTAACTGTCAAAATTAAACCAAACAAACAGTTTAATAACCTATATAATCAGGGTTGTTGTAGTTACTGTTTATTATTCTGATAATGCATGGCTTGGTTTAATTTTACATAAATTTTCAGAGTATCAAGTAGTGTTTAAACATCCCTACCTACTCCTGCTACCATTAGGGGAATTAGTATAGCCAAAACTTGCACACTGCTGTAACAGTGTAAGGGATTTCAACACTCAACACTTGATTGCAGTTATTTGGCCTTGAAGTGACTCACAGTGTTATGGACTAATGGTTGCAACAATTTGAAAATGAAATCTTCACCGTAAGTGATATAACCACCACTCTGTTTGAGGCCAGATGTCCTCATTTCAGCTCTCATCATTAGCAAAAGTCTGGATACAACTGCTACTGCAACCTCTGAGATGTTAATGCGTAAATTATGCAGTTTTACATGTGGCAAAACATTCCCATGGTGCTGTCTCAGCTCCTGATGGGGAGAAGACCCCTTAGAGGATGATCTCTTATGCTGCACACAACTGAAATGGAAGTCACTCAACTACTTTATTTCTTTCCAGCGTGGATAGTTGCCTAATACTTTTGGAAATGAGATCTTTTTTTTGAATATGAATAGACATGTATCCACAGTTTTCCACTATGTTCCTCCAGTGTTCTCTCAGATAAAGTTCATGTTTTAACAGGTTGTGGACGATGTACATGCTGGCAAATTGGGAAAAATGAAGTTTTCTGAAATAGCACTAAGTTAATGTCACTCTGGAAAAACAAGCTCTGCATTTGATCACAACAGGTTTTATATTTTCTTCTGAATCTGTGATGAGCTGAAATGGAGGGTTTTTTTTTTTTAAATACACCTCAAAGCTACTTTGGATGTCCTGCATTTCATTCTCCCTCACTGGATCCCAGCAATGCAGAAAACGTTCATTCTCAGGAGACTCTGAATTCCAAAAGAAAAGTTTTCAAAATACCACAAAAGGCACTTGAAATATTCCAAATGGATGAGCTCCCTGGTTTACCTGAAGAATGGCCAAAGGCACTTTTAAAAGCACAAAAATAATATATTTAAAGAGCTGATTTTTCAGTTATACTGTAGTGACAATCCTTATCATTTCTAAAGAGCATTTTACATCCCTACAAACTCCTTTAAAAGTATGATCTATTAGACTGTGTAACAGCAAAAAACCCAAAGGGATGTAGATCTATTACTTAAATCATCGAAAATGTGATTTGACCAACAATATCCCATCAAGAGGAATACCAGTAAAGGGTATAATGACCAAATAAAAATACTTGTGTCTCTGGTGTCTATGAATATCCTTCACACCTAAAAGGTTTGTGGAAACAAACCTTCAGCCAGTTAATTTTCATTTAAATGTATTTAAATCCATAATCAAGCAATAGTCCACAAGATGGTTGATAAATTATCTTAGGACTAACCATAGATTAGTGCACCATGTAAGATAAAAACAGTAAAACCTTGCCCCTTAGATACGAGAAAGACATGGAGAAGTACAATACAGTGGGACATGCACAGAACCAGTGATTTATTTTCATTTTTTTAATTATCTGAATGGCTATGAAGTTTTTATTTTAGCATACTGCGGAAAAAGAGTATATGTAGACAGACAAAGAACTGAAAGGACCAAGCATATACAGAATAATGAGGTCATAACACGCACAGGGGACGACATGGAATTATTAAGAATATTCAGTCTTAATATACTGTTAGAGCAGAATGGCTTGAATGAGGAAACACTTGATCTGACTTCATAGCAGCCTTCCAGTATCTGAAGGGGGCCCAAAAGGATTGTGGGGAGGGACTCTTCATTAGAGACTGTAGTGGTAGGACAAGGGGTAATGGGTTAAAACGTAAACAGGGGAAGTTCAGGTTGGATATAAGGAAGAAGTTCTTTACTGTGAGGATGGTGAGGCACTGGAATGGGTTGCCCAAGGAAGCTGTGAATGCACCATTCCTGGTGGTGGTCAAGGCTGGGCTGGACAGAACCTTGTGTGACATAGTTTAGCGGGAGGTGTTCCTGCCCATGGCAGGGGGGTTGGAACTTGATAATCTTAAGGTCTTTTCCTTAAGATTCCATGATTCTATGATTCTATGACAGATAGTCTGGAACAGAATAGTGTGGAACATTTAGAAGACAAAGTTGAGCTTAAAAGGTACAGGTATGGTTTGACCAATGACAACAGCAATGTCACCAGCTGTGTTTTGGATGGACTGGCAATAGAGATGCTAAAGAGAATGCGCAAGTAGTCTTAAAAAGTGGTAAAGCATATGAAAAGTGTCATTTGTCTGTACAGAGAGAAAGGCACACGTTTTCCATAAATTGTGGAGGAAGACTGGTTAAGCACTCCTATATGAGCTTGAATGGCAAGTAGGATGGTGGTAATGTTTAGGAGAAAAGATAACATTTAGTTCTACACCCATTTTGAGTCTGAGCTGTCAAGAAATCTTCCATGAGGAAGTACTGGAGAAAAAAGCAGAAAATAGGTTGATCTGCCTGAGAGGAATCAGATGAGCAGATACAGAGAGTAACAGAAAAAAACATTCTTGTGAGAGCAAAAGATCACAGTCACAAAAAGATGATGATAAATCTTTGCAGGAGCAGCAGATTTGAAAGAGGAGGGAAAAAAGAAGTAGCAAAGACCAGAAAATTACAGAAAAACCCAAAACAAAAGGGAGCAACCACCTGTGTAACAAAAAGGAGTAATAGTAAAGGCTCTAAAACCTGTGAGAGATTGAAGTTCAGAGTAAATAAATGTTTATTCACAACTCTCAGACTTCTGTATGCATTACAGGTTTGGTTTTTTTTTTTGCTGCAAGAGCATTGAAAACATTTATCATATGTCAATTGTGATAAAAGTCATGAGTATTAACGATCATATAGCTTCATTTTACCTTAATTATATTACTGCTGCTACATTATTGAAAGCATAATGGGTTAGAAAAAATCCCCAAGAATGTGCCATACTGCACCCTCCAGGAATGGAAGAATAAGTATAATATGTGCTCACTAAAGAAAGGGGTGGTGTTTTTCTTAAATATTTAGTGGACAATTCTGCACAAAAAAACCCAGTGCAATTCCTAGGTCACTTTCACACCTCAGTCCTGCTTTAATATGTTCATATATGTCTAGAAAAAAACCCCAACACACCAACCTACACAGCATCTAGTTCCATCAGTATGTTTTTTTAATATGCGTTTTTTTTTACCATGATTGTGTTGGCTGAACCTATCAGTGTTTAGTGATGAACTATCAATGTTTAGTGCAATTAACAGCTGGAGACAGGGCTATCTGATCATGCAATGAATAGCTTAGAGGAAGACAGTTAAGATTTTTATTGCACTGATATTTTTTGGCCATACTAGGAACATTTGATTACTCATGGAATAAGGCAAGATAATTGATGAACATACTGCCTATTAATAAACAGTGGAATTAGCAATTCTGTGGATAGCAGACGAAACCCACTTGATGCAATAGGAATGAGATGTTAAATAGACACAGCATTATTAGGCTGAAGAATTCTTATTACTTTCAACATTCATGTTGCATTTGCTTTTTTGTTTTTGAGGATGCCCTGAAGGATATGAATATACTCATCCTTGCTGCTAACGTGGTGTCCTTAATGCACAACAATTTGCTGAAATAATTTAGTGGTTAGAAAAATGTGTAATTAAATCTTACGTAATTAAAGTCAAAATGCATGCAAAATAACAAACCTGAATGCATAAATTACCTACACTTTACAAGCTCGTTTTCCCTATATTGTCTACTCATGTGTTCCAAATTTATTCATAAAACACATATCCAAGAAATATATTCTTTCTCTCAGATATATGTGAAAACTTCTCTCTTATAAAAGATGTACTGATATGCAACATAGCCCCTCCATTTTTATTTTACAAGACTGCAGAATTAAGTTTTTTATGTTTTTACAGGAAGCTGTGAAAAAGAATTAGTTAACAAATGCTTTCAAGAAAATAATGCATACATAGGAATACAGAGAATAAGCAAATAATACAGGAGAATGTAGCAGGTAGAACAAAATGGATAATTAATAACTCAGAATGACTAATAAAATAAAAATAGCTTATGGCCATTAGTGACTTACAAACCTTCATAACTGAAGTGTCTTATGGGATCAGTATGAAGAGTCAACATTCATAATTTTCTCTTTTTTTCAATAATCTGGTTATGTTGTAGAAGTACAATATTCAGAGCAATGCAAAAAGCACAATACAATGTGTAATAATGTGGAGTGTAAGGTAAATAACTGCTAAGATAAATGACAGGATGGCCATGATATCTATGCCAAGGTGTGCAGCTTAACTATAAAAATGCAAGTAAGGCATATATGAG